CTTAACAGCAACCCAGATTGGGGCTCTTCTCTGGGTTGGAGCAAGTGCTTTCAGATGAGGTTGGTTGGCTCCATGTTGCGTCGTCGCTCGATTAGGGCAATTAGACCTCAGTGGCAAACCTAGACATCCTGCGCATTTGAAGTCATTAGAACGATGCGGCCCAAGTCAAACCATACAGCTGCATGATTTCGATGCCTTACGTCCTGCAAAGCCTGAGACGTGAAACTGAAGCCCTGGCCCCGATATCCCACTTCAGTTACCATGATGGGTATACATATATATGATTATGTACATATACACCTTTATATGCATAGTAATTAGGAATTTATATGGTTTCCGCCACATAGTAACTTGAATCAAGTTCCTTTTCAGCAAGCCTTTGTAGGTTGAAGGCAGCAGTCTCAGGCAGTCCTGAACACAAGGAATCCTTGAAGATCACAGGGATCGAAGCCCTGAACCTATGGATGCCTAGAACATCCCAGGGCCTTTGAGCTGTGAAATCTGCTCACTGCGGGGTCATCCTCTGAAAGCCACAAACTCAAACAACGTGCCGGCTTCGAACAGTTTTCGAATTCAAGCCCAGTGCTGCGGCGCTGTCAAGGAAATTACATGAAGTAAGATTACGACGGTAACTTAGTTTAAACTCCTTAACAGCAGTCAAGTACTCCGCAGCTGGAACTGCTGTCCAGGCCCCAAAGTTCCCTAACGAAGCTCCATGAGCCCTGCACCTGAAAATGCTATTCTGCAAGGCCCGCACCCAGGCGATGAAAGATGCCTATGCTGGCCTAGGACGGGCAGAGGGGTTTGTGGCTTAAGGGTTATGTAGGGGTTATATAGGGGTTACATCAGATTGCGGGTCACCTTTTCTTCATTAGGTGAGGCTTGTGTGTACCGGCCGCTCTTTGTTTCTCAACCGGAGGAGGCTGTTTGCTGAATGTGGTACGAAAGATGTATGGATTCCGGCACGAAAACATTACTCAGAGACTTGGTTTTGATGACATTCTTGCCTGTGGCTCTTGCCAGGAGAGTCGGCCCTAGTTGCTTACCTGCAGTCCAGTGCGAAGTTTAAGGCTTAGGGAATAATCACGACTAACGCAAGATCGAATGGAACACTAAATGGAAATTGGGTTATATAGGGGTTGATATGGCTGATTCAGAGGCACCAGACGGGCAGGGCAATCCACGTTCTTGTCAACAACTCGTTGGCCTCAACCAGGAGGCAGCAAGTTTCATATTGCCAGCTGGGACAGGCTTCAATAAAACCCCTATATAACCCCTATATAATCCCTAATATATACCCTATATAACCCCTAATATAACCCCAATATAACACTAATATAACCCCCAAGATTAGACAACTCACCGCCTCCGAGCCTAACTCTGATGCCTGCTGTTTTTTAGGGTTCCTGTCATAAACCCTGAAACCCCTAGACCCTCCTTCTACCCTCTATATACCCCAAATTGGGACCATATACCCATATTTTGAGGGTACAAGGTAGTACAAGGAGGGTCCTGGCCTAAACCCTGAACCGCCTCCAAGGTTGACGTCTTCTTTGCAGATAAGGAGGCTTGGGGCCCAGCATACCCGGAATGCTGTTAAGGAAATTAAACTAAGATGCTATAATGAGGAACCCCTATTATTCGCTATATACCCACATTATGGTAACTTGATGTGATGCTTGCCTGTGCAAGAACAGAGCTTGAGCCATGCTGTGGCAGGAGATGTGCAGGGCGCACGAATGCTACCATTTTACAGTGGCCATGTAGGCAGAGTCCAGAATCTACAGCACCGTGACCATGTCAGCTACTGTCAATATTGCAGTGAAATTATGGGAGGAATTCCCTGTAATCCCCTGTTATTGATCTCAACGTTTCTACCCGAAGCCTTTGCAGCTCATGTAGTTTTTGAGGAGAAGATTACTCGAGCCGCCACGCTCAGCACCGAAGTACGTGACTTGCTCGCAGTCTTGCAGAGCCCAAACCCTAAACCCTAAACCAGTAAACCCAAAAACCCTAAACGCAAAACCCTGAACCCCTAAATCCTAAGCCCCTAAACGCCCTGAACCTCTAAATCCTAGTTCCCTAAATCCGAAACCCATTCTTGTGCCTCCTTGGTCGGCTCCTTGCGTGCATATCAAGACAGTCGAGTGAGGGCTTCCGAAAATTCAGGTTACCTCTTTGCGGTCCCAGGAATAAGGATGGTAGTCTTTTGGAGAGTGACCTGCCACACCAGCAAAGCTCCTACCCAGACCGCCTAAAGTATCCAAAAAATGGACCCCTGCCCCCCCCCCCCCCCCCCCCCACCCCCGATGAACCCATTACTACATTGGGAGAACTAATTAGGGGATTATTAGGGGGTTCCATTTTTTAGGGGGTCTGGGCAAGACGATTCAGCTACTCTGGCTGTCTGGACACTACACAACTCTAGGCTTGCTCTTCATCACGGATGCGGGTGATGAAGCAGACAACGAAGCTGCGTTATGGCTACTTGGGCATTCCCATGCTTTGCTTGCTGGGGGTTAGTAGG